TTTGGTTTGGGTTCCAAGAAAACTGGTGACACCGGGTTAAGGGTCGTCAGTGACACTGTGTCAAGTGAATGAGGAGAGCCTGGCCTAGTGGCTTATGTCTATAATCCTAGAGTGTAGAAAGCTGAGGCAGAAGGATTGCTGCAAGCTTGAGGCAAGCCTGGGCCACAGAGTAAGACCTTGTCTCAAACAAACAAACAAAAAAAAGATAAAAGAGAAGCAAGTGAAGCTCAAATGAGCACAGATAATCCCATGTGGGTCATGTAAACCTAAGCAGTAAGAACAGAGTGCAGGGGCTGGAGAAAAGGCTCAGGCCCAAAACACTGGCCCTGCAGAAGGCCTGGGTTCAGCTCCAGGATCGGATGCCCTCTTCTGGCCTCCTAGGGCTTCTGCATGCATGTGGTACTCATGCAGGTACACACATTTACATGAAGAATGAAAGAGCTGAAGGAGGATGGGCTAGAAAGATAGCTCAGTGGTTAAGAGCACTGGCTGCTCTTCCAGAGGACTGAGTTCAATTCCCAGTAATCACATGGTGACCCACAACCATCCTTAGTGAGATCTTGTGCCCTTTTCTGGTCTGCAGGGATACATGCAGACAGATCACTACATACATAATGAATAAATCTTAAACAAACAAACACTGAAGAAAGAGGTAGAGGTATGGAGGTGTGTGTTACAATGCCTGGGGCACAATTGGTCTTGGGTATGTCTGAGTATGTCATGAGCTTGTGAGTATTTTTAGGTGGGTCGAAGAGGGTTGGAAATAGAGCTCACTATGAACTAGGTTGGGAATATTGTCTAATTGGTAGAAGATGGCAAGGTTGAGGAGACACACTAAGGACCCTTAGAAATGTATCCACTTCAGTTCCACTACACTGATAGACTAAATGATGGCTACATAAAGACATGTCCATAGCCAACCCCCAGACCTGCAAGTGTGACCATATCTGGAAAAGGGGTTTTTGCATAAATAACTAATAATTTTTGTTATTTTCGTGTTTGCTTATTATCATTATCATTATTATTATTTTATCTTATTTCTATTATTATTTGAGACAGGATCTCACCAGTAACTCTGGTTGGCCTGGAGCTTACTATGTAGACCAGGCTGGCTTCAAACTCACAAATGGTCTGCCTGCCTCTGCCTCCTAAGTAATGGGATCCAAGATATGCACCACCAGCATCCAGGAGTGGCAACAAGAGGAGCTTCCCCAGAGCCTCTGAGGTAGCCTGGCCCTTCCAATACAACTTCCCACTTATGGCCTACAGAATGTTGAGATTTTAAAAAATTGCATGCCATAAGAACCTGGTTTAAGGTAATTTTTATGATAGCCCTAGCAATAATCGTGTGATGGCTCAGATCTACAGGTCAGCCTCAAGACCTCAAAACAGCTTTGGTCTTTGCTTCCAACCCATGACTAGGGAGAATGGGGCTTTTCTCGTGCTCTGCCAGTGAATAATTCCCTCTTCTGTAACCCAGGGCTAATCAGAAGCCTGTTTTAGGAATGTGTTTGTCAAGGTTTGGAAACACAGATCCCAGTGATCAAAGACTTGGCTTTAAACATCTATGGAGTTGTCCTGTGCTGGGCAGGGAGTGTCCCTGATACAAGAGCTCTGAGAGCCCTAGCTTGTTTTAGGGTTTGGCAGATTCCCGAGTTATAAAGGTGTGATCCAGGATCAGAGTTCACATCTCCACCCAAGCCAAGGAAAACTCCGGGGCCCAGAACTATAGAGAAAAGCATTTGGAAAGTTAGTGAACTATAACAATGCTGTACCTACAAGCAGATCTGCGCTGAAATTCAGACACAAAGCCCTACAAAGGCAAGGAAGAGATGTGGGATCGTGGTGCTGTCAGCAAGTATATGAAAATCCTAGTCAGCCTGAAATGTTCAGAATATTTAGAAAGAAGGAAAATGGAGAAAAGCTGAGATCAGTGTTAGAGAAGAGGTCTAATCAGCCCCAAGCTCCATTTACAGTATGGTCTACTCTGCTCCCATGGCCTCTCCCTTCCAGACTACACTAGTTATTACCACAGTCTGCCTTCAACAAGCCCGTCGAATTCAGATATTACCATGTTCCTTCCATGTGCCAGAGTCCAAAAAAGTTCTGAAACAGCTGACTATCCAGAGTACATGAAGGGTCAAAATTAATGGATGGCACTGAGTTTGCCTTCAGAAAGGCCAACAGGGCCTTGTGCATGGTAGGCAAGCACTCTGCCACTGAACTACATCCACACACACAAAGGCATTGTAGAACCCAGCAATCTTCTAAGATGAGCACATGGGGAAGTCAGCTTTATTCAGCCATAGGCATTTTGATGTACAATATGACTGGCAGAGAAGGAAGACAGTTTGAAGTACCATAAAAGTGATTTAATCTCAGGTACGGTCATTTATACCTATAGTCTCAGTGGACAAGAGGCTGAGGCAAGAAGAATATATAGGGTATGGAAGCTACAGAGAGTTCCCACCCAGCCTGGACTACATAATGAGACCGTGTCCCAAACAATAACAAAAGGAGGTTTGGGGGAGCGGTTATGGTTTGGCACATACAAGTCACTGACAATGAGCGCTCCTAAGGTAAAAGTACCTGGCAAGGTATTCTGCAAGGAGAAAATGCTTGCTAATAGTTGTTGAATAAAAAAATTGACTGAAATTTTGAACCCTGCCCTCGTGGAACACAAGATTAGTAGAGCAGATAAAATGTCATAAATCATCTTAATATGAGTCAAATTGTGAGCAAGGATATTACTGAGGTCAAGCACAGTTTGGTGGCAGGCAGAGGCACCATTGAATGATCCGAGACTGGAGGCAGAGGGTTGGTTAAAAAAGGTTTCCTCGGGCTAGCAAGATGGTTCGGAGATAAAGCCACTTGCCTTGCAAGCCTGGCAGGATGGGAAGAAGCCTCCATATGGAGGAAGAGATGGACCTGGAGATGTGGGATCACAGAGCTGCCAGGAAGTATACAAAAGTCCTGACAAGACTGAGATGTTCAGAATATTTAGAAAGAAGGAAAATGAACAAAGCTGAGATCGGTGTTGGAGGAAAGTATCCATGCAGCCCCAGGCTCCACTTTACAATATGGTGCTCTCTGCTCCTATGGCCTCTGACAATCTGCGTTTGACCCTGGATTCCACATAAAGGTAGAAGAGAACAGACTCCATCATTTGCCCTCTGATCTCCACATCCAAATACACACAAGCCCACAAACACATGTACACGAGAATCCAACACCTCTGGCTTCTGTGGGTATCTGCTGTCCTCTCTCTCTCTCTCTCTCTCTCTCTCTCTCTCTCTCTCTCTCACACACACACACACACACACACACACACACACACACACAAAAGTTAAAAATAAAAATTAAAAGCATGGTGGTGCTGAGCACTTGGGAGGCAGAGGCAGGCAGATTTCAAAGTTCCAGGCCAGCCTGGTCTACAGAGTGAGTCCCAAGACAGCAGGGCTACACAGAGAAACCCTGTCTCAAAAAAACCAAAAAGAAAAGATTCCTGGAGAAGTTGTCTGGGATCTGAGTCAGAACAGACAGGATTTAGAAAAGTATGATAGTGAAAACATTTAGCACCATGGTGGTTTACAAACATTAATAGCCAAAGTTAAACCAAATCTCAGATGAGGTTACTTGGACTCTTCTGGACTAGGCATTACCCTTTAGATCAGGAATTATCTAGAAAGTTCTCAAAGAGAAGCTGAGATAGCAGAGTTACCTGGAGCCATGGGATATGGCTGTGTGCTACAGAATTAAAACTAAAATGCATCCAGTTAACCCATAAAACCAGCCTGATGATTGTTGACTGGATAATCTTAGATATGGGCAAGAGATGGCCTTATTCTTTTGTCATTTGTTAAGGCCATGGGGATCTCCTGAGAATGTGAGCTTCAGAACTAAACACTGTCCTCTGTTCTATGCTGCATGCTTGGGGACAGTAGCAATATCTGGAGGATTGGAAGAGGCTCAGTAAATGTTCATTAAATGGGCAGCCTGGGGGCCTAATATGAAAACTGGATTGTGTGACTCCAGATTCAAAAGATTTCTTTTTACATCTCTTATTTGATGTGTGTGTGTGTGTGTGTGTGTGTGTGTGTTTGCACACATGGTGGGGTCAGATTTTGCCCACTTCCAGACTTTCTTGAGGCAGAGTTATGGTAATATTTGTCCTCACTCACTGGAGTGAAAGCTTCTCAGATAGGGATTTCTGTATCCCTAGTCCACAGCCTAGCATGCTGTAGGTACTAATACGGAATGCAAATATGAGTGGCATTCACAGCACGGAGACTTGGATTTAAAAAGGCAGTAAAAAGTTTAGAGAGAACGAAATGAGTATTTTAGGGCTGGGAGTAAAGCTTAGTGGACAAATACTTGTCTGGCACATGTGTCCCTGGATTTAGTCTCCATCATTGAGATACAAGAACAAGAACAAAGGGTGGGGGAGTACACACACACACACACACACACACACACACACACACACACACACACACGAGTAATCTGACTGGAACATTAGGGGGAAAGCAAGAGACAAGACAGAATGGTGTCTTGAGGAAGGTTTTGCAGACCTGGAAATTGGAAAAAGAAAAGAAAATGGTCATACTTTGGCAGGCAATGGGGAAGCCATCAGAGTCTCTCGCATTCATATATATATATATATATATATATATATTCAAATATTCATGCTCAAAATTTTTAACCATGAGCCCCTTCACCTACCCAGCGTCTTTACCTGTCCCTCTAACGGAGACCTGACTGAGGCAGGATTTATACCCGGTTTCTTGTCTCCTCAGCCCAACTGCATGAGGGCCCCAGCTCCCTTCTTTCCCCTTCCCTGCTGGGGCTGGGAAGCAGGCCAGGCCTAGCAGAGACTGGCAGGCAGAAGCTGGGTGGTGCCACGGAGAACCTATACAGTGCCAGGTGGTGCCTTGGGCTCCAAGCTGAGCTGGTGATCCTGATAACCTTCTGCCTGTGGCCACACCTGCCTCTCACCCCAACCCTACCTCTTACCCGACCTGTGTCCAGGCTTTGGTATCGGGCAGGGGGCACCGGGCCAGGCAAACCTGTGGGACTTTGGCTCCATCTCTACAAAAGGGCATTCTGTGAGTCAGCCTGCTCCCCTCAAGACTTGCTCCTCCCCTCACCCAGCTCCTATTTCCGATGCACGTACAGCCCGTACACACTGTGTCCTGGGACACCCCAGGCAGTCGCATGGCTTCCCTGGGCCCCAGCCCCTGGCCCCCTTTGTTGATCCCAGCCTCTACTGCGCCGCTGCTGCTATTTCTGCTGCTCCTGGTATCTGCTCATCCCCAGGGCCTGTCCGGAATGCAGGGGGAACCCTCCTTGGGAGAGAGTTCATCTGGGGAGGAGGATCTGGGCGTGGAGGATCTGCCCAGTGAAGAAGATGCACCTGGGCAGGCGGGTCCACCTGGTGGGGAGGATCCGCCTGAAGATAACTCTAAAGCCGAAAAGGAGGATTCCCCGAAGTTAGAGGATCTACCCACTGTTGAAGCTCCTGAAGACAGTCAAAGTCCCCACGGGGATGGAAAAGGTAAGAAAGCAGTCATCCGCTTCCAAACTGAGGTTCAGGTAGTTTTCCACCTCCTCTCACCACACCCCAACTCTAGCAGAGATGCAGGAAGGAAACTGTACTCTAATAGGTAGCCCTTCTCCCTAAAGGGGAGAGCAGTTGGGAGACATGAAAGAAGAAAGGGAGAAATTGAAGAAAATAGAGCTAAGGAATGGATGGGGGGGGAGTGTAGAGAGAGAACGAGTGTGACAAGAAAAGTGGGGGAGGGGGTCCCCGAGGACTACAGAGAGCACACAGATGCCACTCGCAATTTGCCGTGTAGGAAGAAGCAATCAACAGGAGGGATTTTGGGTTGCTTTTGGGGCAGGAGGGGAGTAAGGGGTGAGGTGGGGTATTATTATCTGGATCCGGTTGGCCTTGAACTATTTCCTGCCATCTACCTGTCTCTGAGCTCTGGGATTTCAGGTGTGCACTAGCACGCTTGGCTCCAGGTTAGGGACTTGGGAAAGCTCGGGACAGGAAAGAGAGACCAGTGGGAAGGTGGGATGAGTAAAGGAAAAGCAAAGTTGGTCTACTGATTTGGATCTGCACACTGAAGCCACTCCACGGACCCTAGCATTTGCAAACTGTCTTCCAGCAGCAGGTCTGCTGACCGATCACTCCCCCAGTGGCTGAGACACAGTTGGTGGTAGGCCACCGTGCTTTGCACCTAGTCCGCACACTCTTGTAAGACAACCGGGTCTGTGAGGCCTCGCCAGAGCCAGAGGGAACCTTTTTCATTGCGGGCACTGGGAAGTGACTGGGCTGTAAGAGTGGGCTTATTAATTCTTCTCATTTATGCAGGGGGTGGCCACGGTCTTTGGAGCTATAGAGGTAAGAAACTGCCTTCCACCTAATCTGGAAGTCCAGCTCTATTGAACTGCCCCCCCACCTCCACTAGCTCTCATCTGGACTCACATCTCTGAACCCCCCCTTTACTCCCGCTCCCAAGCTTCCTGACTCCACCCCCTCACTTATCCTAACAGTTCTTGTCCTACTCATCAGACTTCTTGCATCTTTTTCTCTCATCCCAGGCACCCTACTCTGGCCCAAGGTGTCCCCAGCCTGTGCCGGCCGATTTCAGTCCCCTGTAGATATCCGCCCGGAGCGCACCTCATTTTGCCCCGCCCTGCAACCCCTGGAACTACTGGGCTATGAGCTTCAGCCTTTCCCGGAACTGAGCCTGAACAACAATGGCCACACAGGTGAGGTGTTTGGGGAGGAACCTACAGAGGGGCTCCGCTCGGGGTTTCTGCTGGTGCTCACGGGTGGGTAGACATCACTCTCTTGCCACTCCCCGCACAGTACAGTTGACTCTGCCACCGGGGTTGAAGATGGCTCTGGGACCTGGGCAGGAGTACCAGGCCCTGCAGTTGCATTTACACTGGGGAGCTTCAGATCACCCGGGCTCAGAGCACACTGTCAATGGCCACCGTTTCCCTGCTGAGGTGAGCATTGGGCTGTCCCAAGAGGAACAAAGAGGGTGTGATCAAAGCTCGGGCCTCAGTTTGACCCTTACACCCTCTCTAGATCCACGTGGTTCACCTCAGTACTGCTTTCTCAGAACTTCACGAAGCCTTGGGTCGCCCAGGAGGCCTGGCCGTTTTGGCTGCCTTTCTGCAGGTACCACACTTGACACTCATATCCCAGAGGTTCTGTGCATCTTGTTGAGACACTCCCGTTGTTTCAGCACTCTCAAGCTGGTGGTCAATTAGCTGTCAGTTTCACCCACACCTTTGCTCATTCATTCAACAGCAGCATGGAACCAGGAAGCAGGCTACAAGCAGGCTACCTTTAAGGAGCCCACAAACAGAGCCAAAGCTGACTGATAGGAGGAATGTTGACTGATAGGAGGAAAGAGTATGGACCATTCAGGGAATGCCACATGCAACAATGGACCTGGGGAGGGGGTCCTTTCTCAGCTACTTCTGTGACCCATGCAGTATTTATTCAGGGACCTCTCTGTAGTCCTAACAATCAAGAGTGCGGTGCACACACACCGTGAGGAGATGAGATGCCTGTAAGACTCACTAATGTGAAGTTCACAGCACAAAGTCAGACGAGTGCCTCAGATGTAGATGCAGGACAACACTCCAAGAGTCAAACTCACGAATTATTAAAGTGAATAAAGTAACATGAGCACAAAACATATTATAGTTTTCTATGGGAGACCTGAGAGTGCGTGGAAATAATGAGGGAAACATGAAAGTTTGCAGGGCTCAGGTCACCGAGGGGCCAAGTATCATGGTAAATTTTCTCCTTCTCCTTCAGTTTGCCATTGAAATCTAGTGCACCAAGCTAATTCATTTTCAAAGCAAGAGTAATTGAATAATAAGACTTTATATACTCCCAGCATTCTTAGAGTCGATGAATGGAGAAAGACTCCGGGAACCATATCCCATGTTCAGGCCTCCAACTGTGGTCCTAGAAACAGGTATCAATCTACCTTGCATTATATCCCATGCCCACCCCTGCAGGAGAGCCCAGAAGAGAACAGTGCCTATGAACAGTTGCTGTCACATTTGGAAGAAATCTCCGAGGAAGGTCAGTTTGAGGCTTGCCCTAGGAACTGAACATCTGAGAAAAGAGATATGTAAGATGCTGAGGGTGAACTGGCTCTGGGATTGGTAATAACTGTGAAAGTGATGAGAGAGACAAGTGGGAATAGGGAAGCTACTGTCCACAGGTTTGACAATTAGAAATCAAAACCAAACAGAAAACAATATTAGACAAAAAAAAAAAAAAAAAAAAAAAAAAAAAAAGCAAAGTTGAGGCTGGGCTTGTTGACATGTGCCTTTAGTTCAGGGCCAACCTGGTCTACATAATGAGTTCCAGGCCAGTCAAGGCTACATAGAAGACGTGTCTCAAAAACAAACAAGCAAGCAAGCAAACAAAACAAAACAAAAAGCAAAGTAGAGAGAAAAATTGTTTAAAACATGGGATTGAGTGTGGAAAGCTAAACTGATGTTGAGAACTGTGTACCATTTATAATCATCAAATATTTTACATTATAAATGTTTTAGAGCAGTGCATGATGACAATACCAATGCTTGGGAGGCTGGTTACATACCAAGTTGGAAGCCAGCCTAGGCTACAGGAGACCATGTCTCCAAAAAGGCTAAGGATATAGCTTGGCAGCAGAGAAAGCATGTGTGCCTGAGGCCCTTGGTCTAGCACTGAAAAGCCACTTTAGCTAAAAAGCTACTTCCCTTCTCAGGGACCGACATACGAGACTTATAGGGTTTTTATAAATTGAAAGTCATAGAGCTTTTGGGGGGGGGTTGGGTTTTATTTGTTGTTTTTGTTTTTTGGGTTTTTGTTTTTGTTTTTTCAAGATAAGATTTCTCTGTGTAGCTTTGGAGCCTGTCCTGGAACTCACTCTGTAGACCAGGCTGGTCTTGAACTCACAGAGATCTGCCTGCCTCTGCCTCTCAAGTGCTGGGATTAAAGGTGTGTGCCACCACCGTCCAGCTTTGTGTCTGTTTTTTATAGCTGCAAATATGAAATGTATTTACAAGTTATTCTGTGTGTGTGTGGGGATGTGCTCAACAGGTAGAACACAGGGTCTCCACCACTGAACTGCATCCCAGCCCCATCCTCTCCTTTTATTCCAATCTGGGATTAAGTCAGCAGTCCTTCGTGACAAGGTAGTGGACTCAGAAGAATGAAGGCATCAAAGGGGGACTTATGACCTCATTCTTCTTGGGGCTGGAGAAATGGCTCAGCACAAGGCCTCCTCTAATTGCCCAAAGCCCTTTACTTCCTTTAGGGTTAACCACACATAGTGAGAAGCAGTGAAACTATGCTTGTGCCTGGAGCTTCCAAGAGATGCTCCTGGTGAGACCTCAACATAGACCCCACCCACAGGCACAAAGATCGAGATCCCAGGTCTGGATGTATCCGCACTGCTGCCCTCCGACCTCAGCCGTTACTACCGATACGAAGGGTCTCTAACGACACCTCCCTGCAGCCAGGGGGTCATCTGGACTGTGTTCAACCAGACAGTGAAGCTGAGTGCTAAGCAGGTGAGAGTGGGGTGTGGTGCAGACACAGGCTGTTGGAAAAGGGGATGTAGAGAAGGGAGATAGAGGGTTGTGGACCGCTTGCTTCTTTTTGTCTTGCACTTTCTATTATCCCTCCTTCCCCCAGCTCCATACTCTCTCTGTTTCCCTGTGGGGACCTCATGATTCTCAGCTACAACTGAATTTCCGAGCCACACAACCTTTGAATGGACGAGTGATTGAGGCTTCTTTCCCTGCCGGAGTGGACAGCAGCCCTGAGCCAGGTGCACAGTTGTCCGATAGCCCGTGTTGCCATGTCCCCTAGCTACGGGCCCCTCTTCTTCCTGTGTCTTCATTTGTGTCGCAGGTACTCATGGGCCTTGGCTCTAATGTCTTCTTTTTCTCTTCAGTCCACATGAATTCCTGCCTTGCTGCTGGTGAGTTGGGGTTCCTCTTGTTCCTGATGCTGGGGGATACACTTTAGTATCATCCAGCCCAGGAGCTAGTATTTTCCCTTTCTGCATCCCAAAACCAATATGATAGGTCAGGTAGGGGACCCCCCTCCCTGTACCTCTGATTTAGTTTATCAGAATGAGGCTCAGAAATTTTGTGATGCTTCTCCCCCAACACCCCTTATCCTTCTTGATATTCACCTCCATCCTCCAGCTGGCCTGTTCTGGAGACTGGAGCCCTGGGCTGCCTGAGCACTCACTCCTGGAAAGGGTCGGGAGTACAGGAAGCCTGCTTGGGGGGAACCCTTGGCACTCCCTGAGGCAGCCCCCCCTTTCCCCAGGTGACATCCTAGCCTTAGTGTTTGGCATTCTCTTTGCTGCCACCAGCGTGGCCTTCCTCATACAGCTGAAGAGGCAGCACAGGTATCTATGGGCCCCCCTTGGCACGGCCTTTTATGTATAACCCAGAATTCCAGGACTGCAAACGAGCTCATTCAGGGCTGGTTTTCTGATTCTAGTTCCCTGTTCTACAGGCACAGAAGTGAGACCAAAGATGGCGTTAGCTACAGCCCAGCAGAAATGACAGAAACCGGGGCCTAATAATGAGGAGTCAGCTGGAGGATTCTGGAAACTTTGTCCTGGTCTGACCATTATATACTTTCTTTTTAACCACTACGGAATCTTTTTAACTTTTCTTCTTTTCCTTAAAGTACTACAATGGGATCTTATAGTGAAAAGGCAAAGTTGGACTCAATTCTTGCCCTGTTTTTGTTTTTTGTTTTCCCAGGACAGGATTTCTCTGTGTACCTCTGGCTGTCCTGAAACTTGCTCTGTAGACCATGCTGGCCTTGAACAGGGATCTGAATGCCTCTGTCTCCCAAGTGCTGGGATTAAAGGCATTCACCATCACCACCTGGCAATTCTTGCTCTTACTGTGCAGTCAAATGATCTACCACTGAACTATATACCCCTTGATCTTACTACATAGCCAGGGCTAGCCTTGAACTGAGTGTGTATATTAATGGAGTTTGAACCCAGGATCTTGTTCTGACTGGACAAGTGTTCTACCAGTGACTCAGTTTATAGCCCCTTCCCTTGAACTCTCTAGCCTCCTGTCTCAGTCTCTTGAATTCTGGGATTACAGGCATGCACCATCATGCCTGGCTCATCCTGATAATTTTTTAAATAAATATTTCTAATAAAACATGTATAAAGTAAATATTTCTTTTCCTTTTTTTCTTTTTGGTTTTTCGAAACAGGATTTCTCTGTGTAGCTTTGGAGCCTGTCCTGGCACTCGCTCTGTAGACCAGGCTGGCTTTGAGCTCACAGAGATCTGCCTGCCTCTGCCTCCCAAGTGCTGGGATAAAAGGCGTGCGCCACCACCATCCAGCTACAATAAGTACTTCTAAAAAACCATGTATTGTCTTTATCCTTGAATCAAAAGGACATTCTATTAGTTTCCTATGGCTGCTGGGGGAGAAACAATTCCCACAAGCTCAGAGTGTCAGCCCTTACAGTTCCTGAGGCAGGGATGTCCAAGATGAACTTTATGTGTTAGTCCAGGTGTGAATGGGATGCATTCTTCTGGACTTGCTCAAGGAGAACATACCCATTTTCAGATTTTAGACGCACCTGCATTCCTTACTTATGGCCCTTTCCCAAAACACTCCAACTCCTTGCTTTCATTTTCATATCTGTACCTACTGTCTTTTACCTGATCCCTTCCCCCACAATTTTTTCTTTACTCTTTTCCCTTCTAGACTGAGTCTTACTCTATAGCCCAGACTGGATCAAGACTCAAGTGCTAGCCCCAGTCTCTTGAGTGCTGGAACTACAGGTCTGCACCATCATGCTTGGCTTTCCCTGACCCTTTGAGGACCTTGTGATGACCTAGGCCTGACCCGTGATAACCTCCTCCATTTCAGATTCTTTGCCCAGCCACACAAGGTCTCTTTCTGGCTAACATGGCATTTCCCAGGGTTAGAATATGGACCTTGTTGGGGTGACAGCACAGGGCAGTTTGAGTCAAGAGGTTGGCTTGGCCACACCCTCTAAACTTTAGTTCACAGGCAGTGAGCCTTTCGGGCTTCCACCCTGGTGGAGGAGTACCTGTGCCCCTTTGCAGTTTTGCCTTTAGAATGTCTGGCCCAGTGACTGTTGAAACAGAGTTGTGTCATGGATGGTGGCTCCACCCTGTGAGGACTACAGGCCAGGACAGTTTCCTAACCACTAGGAAACTGCTTCACGCAGTTGTTTGCTGGGTCCAGTATCCACACCTCAGAGGCCCCATTAAAAAGGGGATCGATTGATCCTGCTGTCCTCCCAGGACTACTGCCAACCAAAAAAAGTTTTAAAGGGCCCTGGCATGCCAGGAACATCCGTTTATTGACCTGAGGAGGCAACGTTCTAGTCTGGTAGGCAGCACGGCCAGCCCTTACAAGTTGTTGAGTTCCAGAAGGGTCTGGTCCAAGGTCTGGTGAATCTCCACGTTCTCTTCCTTGGCACTAGCCAAAGTCTCTGTGAGGGGAAGCAACAGGTGAGGTGGGGGAGGGGAATGGGAGGAAGGAACACGAGGGAGGGAACCAAGGGCAGGGGAAGGCGACATAGACACAGAACATGTTAGGAGATACTTTATGGACCTGGGGCCTATGACGGGGGCAAATGGGTAGACAGACCAGACACAAATATTGCTCCAGGACTGGGCCAGGGTAGTATCAGTGAGATGGGGAGGCCTATCATAAATGGGGTTGCCTTCCTTTAGAAGGGTTAGGAAAGTTGAAAACAGAAGGGAAGACTAAGGTTCAGCCAGGAAAGGGAGGGTCAGACAGACAGAACTGCGACAGAAAACAGACCTGCAGCCGCTGTGAAAAAGCCCCTCTTGCTGAGATCCAGACTTTTCCGACCTTCATGCCAGGCCTTTTCTGACCTTCCAGCCCCGCCCCTGTGCCTCACCACCCCATTTCCCTTCCAGCCATTCCAGCAGATTCTGGAATCCCAATTAAGAGCTCCAAAGTCAGTGATGGGCTGCAGAGGGGAAGGGAGGTTGTGCTTGATGGACCCACATGTAGTCACATGCATCGATTATCAGAAAGTGGTAAGCTGGGCGTGCCATGCAGAAGGATCTGTGTGGGCCCCAGTGTTCTGTGGGAGGGCTGAGTGTCACGAGACTGAAGGTGGTGGTAAAAGCCAGGGTCCCAGGAGTAAACCAGTGCCATGATAGTGATGAGGAGCTCTCTAGGGGCAGGAAAACAGCATGGAGACCAAGTTCAGAGTTTATTAAGTAGTAGAGGAGATGGGAGGTCAGTGGACGGTGGAGAGATAGCAGGATAAAGCCAGTGCCAGAGTGGGTGGCAGGAGTGATAGGCGTGCTCCCTCAGCTGTCCTTGGCCTGACTACGCAATGTTGCCAATTTGTGCCCCTCCTGGCTGCGCCCCCTCCCCAGAGATTGGAAAGAGAGAAAAGAAGGGGGCCTGCAACGGCCACAGCGCTATGGACTCAGAGGGAGGTGATGTCATTGAGCGCGTTGTCCAGCTCCTCGCTGATGGCCTTGTACTTCATCTTCTGTGCATACACTTCATCTGGGGAGTCCGAAGAGGGGAAGGGGAGGGAGCATGGGGGGAGGAGGAGAGGAGGAGATGAAGGGAGAGAAGATGATGAAATGGAAAATAGAATCAGAGAGATAGTCAGAAGAGAGAGGAGAGAGGACAGGCCAGATGGCAAGTCAGAGCTTCCTCTTCCCCGTCTCTCCCTGGCTTCTCTTTGTCCTCGGCACCCCAACTTGTCACCCCCTCCCCCCGCAGCATCTCCCAGGAGTCTGTGGGCAGTGCTCTGAGCAGACAGGCATGCACGCTTAAGAGGGAAAGGAAGGAAGGGTGCTGACAGGGAAAGTCTAAAGTCCTAAAGTTGGAGATAAAATCCCTGCTTGCCTGAGGAGACTGGAAACAGGAGACATGGGGATTAATAAAAGTAAAGGGTTATCAGAATAAAGGAGAAAGGTGACCTTTGTGGATAATAGCAGTAACCACAAACCAGCAAATACCTGGATTTCTGGTGTTGCCAAGTGTAGCTCAAAGTAATATCTTCCATTAACAGTATTATGTAAATCCTGATATTTGATCAACCAGTGACTGGGGTTACATCTCAGTGGCAAAGAACTTGCCCAGCATATATGAGGCCCTAGGTTCAATCCCCAGCACTAAATAATAATAATAATAATGATAATAAAATTTAAAATAGTTCTGTATTCAGTAAAGAAGTCTCAGGGTTGCAGACAATTCTGTGGTAGAACACTGATCTAAAATGTGCAAGGCTGTGGGTTCCAACCCCAACACAAGGGGGTGGGGTGTCTCTGCAATATGACCATTGTATTGTCTGTCCTTAGAGATGGCATTTGCTACATTAGTGTTAGGCAAGACTAGCAGCATCACCATTAAGGAGCTGGTGGCCCAACCCTGTAATCTCAGCATTGTGGAGACAGATTCCAAGGGATCACCATAGTTGAGACCAGCCTGGATGAGTAAGATCCCATCCAGTGGAAACAATCACTTGGAATAGGGTCTAGAATCCATTTGTTTGTTTTTCTTTCTTCTTCCCTTTTCCCTTTAAACCAAGGCCTTCTATGTGACCAGCCAATTTAAAGGATTGTGTGGATATGTAATAATGTGTGAGTGTGTGTGTGTATGTGTGAGTGTGTGTATGTTATGATGTCTGTGTGGAGGTCAGAGGTCAACTTTGATGTTCGTCCTTAACACAGTCTTATCATCATTTCGAATGCCAGGCCAGTTGAACTTCTAGCCATTCTTCTGTCTCTACACCCCTACTTCCGATCCTGTAGTGTTAGGAGGGCTGGGACTACAGGCACGGCCACTGTGTCTAGCTTTTACATGTGTTTTGGGTATCAGAGTTCATGTCCTCACGTTGTGGGACACTGCTTTACCCATTGAGCCACCTTCCAAGCCCAGGAATATGCTTGCTTTTTTTAGATTAAAAAAAAAAAAAATGTGCCAGGCGGCAGTAGCACACACCTTTAATCTTAGCACTCAGGAGGCAGAGGCAAGCGGATCTCTGTGAGTTCAAGGCCAGCCTGTTCTACAGAATTCCAGAACAGCCAGGGCTACACAGAGGGAACCCTATCTCCAAATATATATAATTTATTTCACATGTATGAGTGTTTTGCCTGCATATCTGTGTCTGTGTACTATGTGCATGCACGGTGCCAACAGAGGCTGGAAGAGGATGTCAGATCCCCTGGATTTGGAATTACTGAAGCTTGTGGGTTACCATGTAGATGCTGGGACTCAAGCCCGGGTCCTCTGGAAGAGCGGCCAGTGATCTTAACTTCTGGCCCCCAGCAATCTGTTTTTAATTCTCATTCATTCTAAACTCGGAGACGTACTAGAGTGGATTGTGGACAGCATGCCCACCAGAGTCTGCAGAGCCCTGGGTAATCTAACTCACTTAACAAATACAATGAGATAAGGGCCAGGCTGATCAGGATGGGTGTGGAGGAGTTATCCTTTTTACCTTCCAGGTCATCAATAGTTTTCTCCAACTTTGCCACAGATCTTTCAGCAAACTCTGCTCGGGTCTCAGCCTGGAATAAAGAAGGGATAGTAGACATGGCCAAGAAAGAGGCTTTCCCTGCAGACACCCTTCTTTCTCATCTCAAGCCCTCAGTTTCCTGCCACGGGCAACCTTACCTCCTTCAGCTTCTCCTCCAGAAGTTTGATCTCCTCTTCATACTTGTCCTCTTTGGTGGAATACTTTAGGAGACAAACGCATGCCGTCAGCAAACTTCCCCGGAACCCCTCAGGTCCCTGCTCGCCTTCATTAAGCGCCTCGCCATCCCTACCTAAGCACTCTTCTCCGCCCCACCCAAGCCCGTCCTCGCTGCCCGGCTGGCCCCTCTACCTTGTCGGCTTGGGCTTCCAGGGATTTCAAGTTGTTGGTGACAATTTTCAGCTCCTCCTCTAGGTCCCCACATTTACTGCAGGGGTGTGTGGCAGGATGGAGCGTGAAGGCACAGTGAGGAGAGACAGTGGGGAGTGGCACAGTGAGGGGGTGGAGGGGAAAGAGAAGAGCAAAGTGGTGAGGGTGACAGCAGGCTGAGACCCCAGCCCCATCCCCGAATCCCTACTGCAGAAGAGAGACAGCAGCCTGAGACGCTGAGCTGAGGACAGAGATGGTGAGAAAAGGTTCCATTGCCTGGAAAGGCCCAG